TAGTTGGAGTAGTTCTATATGCTTTTGCTAGAGAGAGGAGAAAGGTCTTTGGATTGAGAGTAAATGTTTTTGAACCTGGGAGTTCAAGGTAAACCCCAGGCTCAAAAATATATGCTCAGAGATATATTATGCAAAAATCTTTCACAAGCATAAATGCAGTTATGAAGAGAGGTAATGCAAATACTGATGGTTTATCTACTGGCCTAAGAAAGAGAATACATTTAAGTTGTGGCACTTAAAAATTTGCATAATTATATCTACTGACATATTGAAGAATCAAAAGCGTTCTTGTTTTTCTGCCATCAAACTTCAGGGTTGAGATATGTTTGACGAATCTAAAGTTTGGCAAAAATTATTCCTTTTCATTATGCCTGAAAGCAGTTTGAAAAATTAGCCTACTTAATTGCTAAATTCATAGAAATTTCAAAGCAATCTCCCTGATATTGTCATAATGTTGCATATTATTTTATTGCATTATTTTGTTACGACTTTTTGTTAATTCAATTACTTTTCTACCAAATTTTTTATCATTACTATCAAATAAAAACTGTTTCAACCCCCATTATATACATCATTATCTATTTTACATATTTCATGAAAAACAATTTTGCTTATGTCTCTATTCCATTAACATTTATTATGACTTCTTGCTAATTTAATTACTTTCCCATCAAAATTTTGGAATCGCTGTCGAAATGTCTCAACCTACTTTATAAACATTATTATCTGTTTTATATGTCACTGCAAATGATTTTGCTTGTATTAAGAGGATATTCATTTTTGTTTGACCTAATAAATTTTTGAAAATAAGTGATTAAAAAGGTGGTCATGCTTGCGCCTTGAGCATTAACATCCGCAAGCTCAGTATATTAGAATAGTATTCATTAATGATAGAAAGTCCTATTTGTAAACATAAAATTGCATAACTAATTCAACAGTTTGTCCAAAATTATTTCATTCGTTTATGAAGGATCCTTAATGGGACATAATGGAAATTTTTTATTTTAAATATACCTTTGAATAAAGGCTTGCCAGTGTTTTTGTTAGATTAAAAAGGTACAATAAGAATGGCTAGACTGGATTTTTGTCTTTCTTTCATCCTAAAAACGCCTAAGGGGATAAGCATCCACATAACCCTGATGACAATAGGTAATGACCCTATATAGCAAAAAAAGAACTCTTTCTTCTTGGTGTTTTATGATAAAGACTTTATACTGGTTCTAACGAAATAAGAAACTTGTTACCTGTTACAAAGTGAATGTATATAGAAAGGATGTTAAAAATTTGTTTCAAAACAGTTTAAGAAATTAAAAAATAATAAGAAGAAAACTCATGAATTAAAAGGAGAAAAATAATTTATCACATAGTTTAATGGGAATAAGAAATTAAATATTTCTTTTTTACAAAATACATCTAAAACTATATAGCATGAATAATAAGGTATCCTTTACAAATTTTTAAAGGCTTGTACTTTTGACAGTGCGATATGATTATTTGTTTTCATTATTTAAGTGTTTATGTTTTTATCATTGATGATATAAAACTAGACTATATAAATTTTTTAAACAGTTTTACTTAATATCTTGTTTTTATAAACTAAACAACAAATAATTTTTTTGCTTTTGTTTCATTAAGAATTTTATGAGTAAAGCTTATTTTATAAAAAAACAATTCTTTAAAATTTTAAATTTTCCTCTCCTTAATCTTAATGACATGTTTTTAATCAAACTATTTAATTGAAAAATATTTCCCAATCAAGCATGCTAAATAATCGAGAATTTATAACAAGCATGGAAGCTAAAATGCATCAAAATAACTTCAGAAAAGTTCAAGAAGTTAGGTGTTAATGAAACAAATGTTCACGTAAAAAGAGATATGAGATATGAAACTAATGCAGCAAGTTCTTGCTATTCATTAGCGGGGAAGTCATTTTATGGCTTACCCATCATGGTAGAAAAAAAGCAAACATACCACGCTAGGCCCATCTTATAGCCCGAAAGTGAAAGCAATGATTTGGAGGGAGCTGTTAGTTAACAACACAGCCATTTTCAAAGCATTTCATTCTGAACGTCAAGGCCGTGAAAGGGTTACAGAAAAATTCTTGGTTTAGAAACATTTATCACACATGAAAACATGTGCATGGTTACTATAATTCGGCAATTTGTATCCATCTCAGTAAAAAAGGTAGTCATTTATATGGCCTTATATAAACAACTGCATAGTATACCAGCCTTGTTCTTTACTATTTCCTGCAAGCTGGTAAACCGGCCAGTGCAGCACAGACATTCCAACAACACATTTATATGCAGAGACTTCCAAATCAAAAATAGAATTAATGCAGCATTTAAGATTAGCTTCTTGTTTGAAATAAGACAAAATGAAAGTTAGACTGGTACTTCATAAGAATTATAGTCAAGAGAATTTAAATCTAATTTATTTAAAGTATTATGCTAAGTAAACTCATACGTAGTTTCAGGATAATTAAGAAAAACTGAAAAATAAAACTGTTACTTGATAGAATAAAAAAATCAATAACAAGATACGAGAGGCACTTCATTTATGAGAAAATTAGTTCAAAGAGAAAATACAAAGTCCTTCAGTTTGCTGTTCTCTAACATTCCCAAACTCAAATTTTTAAGTTGAAATGCATTAATTATTAACAGTATCAAGTTTAACAGATTAAGCTGGCAATATTTACTTCTTTATTAAAGGAGGATATTAATTTTTGTTTGACCTAAAAAATGTTTGAAAATAAGTGATTAAAATCCTTTTTATAGTTCTGCTGGCTACCTAAAAAATGTTTGAAAATAAGTGATTAAAATCCTTTTTATAGTTCTACTGGCTACCTAAAAAATATTTCTTTGATAAGAAAAGTTTGATAACCATAAAAAACATACATTTTGCTACAAAGTCATGAGATAATGAACAACTAGTTATATTGCAATAAATTGAGATGTAGCAATAACAAAGCTATTTACCTGTACACTGAAGAGCCAAAACATTATGACCACCTACTCAATAATGCATTCAAGTCACCTTGGCATAGATGCCACAGGTTCTTGGTAGATGATTGGATACAGGTTATACTAAATGTCTAAGCAGCAGACACACAAATTCGAGATATTCCAAAATGGTGGCCTCCGAGCTGCCGCTCCATGACATCCCAGATGTGCTCTATCAGGTTAAGATACAGTGAGTTAGGTGAGTAGGACATTAATTGGAACTCATCCTTATGCTCCTCACAATTTGTTCCTTATGACATATGGTGTTATTGTGCTGGAAAATTCCATTTCTAGTTGGTAAGACAGATGACATGCAAGATGCAACAGATCCACACTTTTGTTCAGATAGTCTGCAGCTTTCATGATCTATTTTATCATAAATAAGGATGCCTAAGCCACTTATCAGAATGTACTCCAAAGCATAATATTCTGCCACAAGTCTGCATATGACCTGCTATACAGGTGAGAGCAACTGTTCACATAGAAAACAGCAAACTATGACACAACCATTGATGTGATGAATGAGAAATCGTGGTTCATCTGACCAGGAAACTGTTTTCCACTTATCCAAGGTCTAGTCTCGATGCTGCTGAGCCCACTGTAGGCATAGTTAACAATGACATTTGGTCAACAGAAGTACACGAGTGGGACATATGCTGTGCAGCCCCATATCCAACAGCGTCCACTGAACTGTGTATTCCAAAATATTTGCACTAGTCTGCATTATATTAGGCTGTTAGCAGAGCCACTGTCTGGCAGCAATTCTGCTGTACCAAGTAGGAGAGTCTCCGACATCCTTTTTCTTTGATGATGCATGAACATCCAACACCTTAGCATCTACTGCTGGTTAAACCATCATTTATCCACTTTGCATAAATATTAACAATGGCAAATCATGAACAATCTACCAGTCATGCAGTTTCAGAGATACTCATTCCGAGTCTTCAGGCCATTACAATCTGCCCTTTATCAAATTCACTTAGATCAGCAGCCTTTCCCATCAATTGCAAAAATAAGTGCAAGAATGATACCTTACCTTCCTCAGCAGCACTTAAATACCATTCACATCATTCAGTTGAATTCATTGAAAAATGTGGGGATGGTCATAATGTTTTGGCTTGTCAATGTATATTTTAGACAAGCAAAAGAAATTCTGCTACCTTAACATAACACTTATATGAAATCTAGAAATTACATTATTATCTAGAAAACTGTATATCTAGAAAAAAGAAAAAGAGATGGAAAAAAAAAGGGGGTGGTGAATAATTTGGCAGTTTGTCCCAGACTAAATGAGATAATCAGAAACTGCTCATTTAAAATAATCAGAAACTGCTCATTTAAACAAGGCTAAAAATCTTAAATAATAATAATAATAATATGCATACCTGTATGGAATAATTAATTGGGTATAGAAGAAGATTCCTCAAAACTACTGTAGGATTCAGATTCAATGTGTACAAAGAACTGGCCATTGTTTTTCTGTTTGTTTCTTCATAATATATTCGCTCAACTTCACCAGCAACCTAAAATATACATAATGGTAATGCATCAAGAAGTGATAAAAATCTAGTTTTAAATATAAAATTAGAGCAAAAAGTGTTGAACATACACTTAAATAAAAAGGCTTGGAAATGCCTAATTTATCTTTGCAATGAACAACTTTCTGAGTACTTGGATCATCTGTTAAATCTTTCCATACAAATGGAGGAAGAGAAAGAGTGTAACTGAAAGAGAATTTTAAGAATATTTTTCAATACACAGAAAACATGACATTTTTCTTTGAAAATAACAGAAAAAAAGTTTGAAACACATAATGTAAAACAATACTCATGTAGCACCCTGATGAACTAGAGTTTAGCACTATGCAAAAACACAAATTTGTGAATGCAATAAATTAGTATTATATACATTAAATGTACGGTTTAAGTTATAAGATATACCCCAAAATGAATGTGAATATGCATTTTCTTTGTTTTTCATAACATCCAACAGGGCAGTGCAGGAAAGAAGGCCTAAAAGCAATACCACATCATATGATAATAAAATGTTTATGTTCACTAACTTTCACCCCTCCTCCAAATGGGTGTGCCTTCATTTTTATGCGAGTTCTCAATTATCCAAGATAGCTTCAGTTTGTGTTAATTTAGATCTCTGGTTCTGAACCTTTTTTCATCACAGTATGCTTTAATAATTAAAAAATTTGGCAGTATGCTAAAAATATGATAAATTTAAAAGAATTTTACTTGTTTAAATGATTGATGTGCCTAAAATGTATTTTGTATCAATAGCATATGATAATAATTTTCAACGAATAAGAAATAAAATATTATAAAACAAACAAAATATTTATTTAATGATAATTACAAATTACATTTAATGCAAAATTTGAGATTGGCGTTTTTTGATAACTTCTTTTATGCAAAGTTAATTCATATGTCAATGTGTCATTTATCACAAACGGATTTTGCATTCGATTAAAATTTTGTTATTTTTAAATTTGAAAAGTAACAAACACTTATTTGCTGCAGTACTGCCAAATGATCAATACTATTTTATGAATTATTTTATAATAGTGTTTTGAAACTGACTTAGACATTTCTAAATTATTTTCTAGTGCTTTATTCTGTAATAATATTTAATTCCCCCCAGCAATTTATCAGTTGATGTTAAAATATTTTCTTTTGGCCCTTGCATTTATGTTACTAAAAAATGTCAGATAAGTGAGCTAGCTTAGTACATCATATTTTGCAATCTAACAAATCAACAAAATTATTATTATCTTGTTCAAAAAGTATCTTTAGTTCACTTTTTAATTCAAGCAAGCGAGATACAACTTTTCCTTTGGACAATAATCTAACTTCCATGTGCAGTAATAATGATGTTTAGAATCCACAACCTGGCAAAACTGATTAAATAGGCAACTTTTCAAAGGTCTTGATTTCATATAATTAGTAATTTTAACACATTGCTCCAGCATTATTTTCAATTTATGTTAATAGTTTAATGTGTATTTCCCAATACAAAAAACAATGGGTATCTAATATATCTGCATTTTATTTCCTTGCATGTGCTACAAATCCTTTTATAAACACAATTATAATTAGGGCACTGTTTGTAAAAATGTAAACGCACAAATTCCATAAGATTTTTAATTCCTTGTAAATACAAATTAATTTCAGTGAAAATATGTTTCCCTGTCGTGAAATGAGATAGCTCGCAACAACATAAAAATGATTAATTACACCATTTTTATGATTGAATTGAATGAATGCAATTAAGTGTGCCTTTCCGATAATATCAATTATTTCACCGATTTGTAGACAAAATTTAAATTTGAGTTTTAGCAGCATTTTCTTCAATAGTTTTGGGCATTTAAAATTTATTGTTTTGGTTTCCATTGGACGGATTTAGGATTAAAATTGCTGTGTTTTGGTTAAAACACAGAACAGTCAAAGATGTGATGAGACTGATGCAGCCAGTCCTCGCTTGGAAGTCAAGACTGATTTAACTTTTTATCTAGCATCGTTTATGTATGCAAATTCGCAGTAGCATCTCGTGATGTTAAGATGCAGGCCCGGGTTCAAATCCCAGAGAAGACATGGATGTTTGTAAACGTATGTCTGTGTGGCATGAGGGCACTCTAAATATGCAGTGAGCCAAAAGTCCTTTTGAGAGATTGGTGATGAGGGAAGAGGGGTGAGAGACCCTCGTCCCACCTTGGTGCTCTCCATCAAAATTAGGGGAAGAACTGAGCTAAATCGCACTGTCACTTGTAAAGTGCTCATGGCTGTTCCCAAGTGCAGGCATATACTTGTGCTTTTTGCCATGAGGAATTTCGTGGACTTGAGCTGACTATAGGTCAGAGATGGGAGCATTAGCAACAACAACACATAAAAATCACAGCTGTTTTATTCATAAAAAAAATAATAAAAAAAAAAAAACTTAGTTATACAAAGTAAAAAATAAACAAATCTCTTTCAAACTGTGCTATAACAATAATATGTGTGTGAACATAACTAGCACAATTCTGGAAAAAGTTACAGCACAAAAATAAAATTAGCTGTACAATAATTGGGATTACAGATACCTATGTATTAAAGGAAAGAAAGAAATATTGTGTAATAAATAAAAGAATGATTAATTAATAATGGCAAAACATGCAAGGCATGTAAGGAAGGTATACTTTTATGAATTTATGAATTATTGTCTGTGGGTAATTTCTTTATGTTTATATTACACATAAGGAAAACACAAAAACTCATGCAGCCAGCCATTTAGATGGCAGAAGCAAATCTGTCACAAATTATTACCAGCATTGTGCAGCCGCTTAACCAGTGAAGAGTCTAATAAATATGATTAATATTTTATTTGCATACCCCAAGTTCTTTTAAAGGCAGAAGAAATAATAAGAAAAAATCCATTTAAACTGTAGTCATAATGATGATAAATTCAATTAATTTTACCGACATTATGAAAGTTTTCAATAAAAATTATAGAACTTTTAAATAGTGTATGAAGATTTCTGGAAAAAAATTATGCGATAAAATCTTTTAGAACTCAAATCAACAAAACAAATGTCTTAAAAGGTCTGAATGGAGATTTCAACATTATTTTGAAAATTAGTACAAAATTAATAATTAAATATTTACTTACATAGTATACCATGGACCGTGAAATTGTCACCAAGCAATGCAATTTAGCACCAATTAGGGGTAAGCGTAACAAAACACTTATAACATCAGAACTTTCTTTTGATGCAACTCAATTGATTCCTGATAATCTACCTTCTGTTTTATGAAAAAGGCTACAAATAAACTTTTACTGCTATATTTTTTCCCTTGCATTTTGAAATAAAATGATTAATATTTGAGGCCTGCAGTGGATTATTTTCAAATATCCAAAATTCAAACTGGGATTAAAAAAAATCATCAAAAAAATGAGTATAAATGCACATGATATGGTCAACCGCATAAGATTACAACACAGTAATAGATTGGAACAATTACCTACCAAGAATTATTTGTATTCATGGCACTCTAAACAAAATTTTCAGCAAAATGGGAGGCCCTAACAAAATAATAGAAATCAACAAAAGCCTTTTCACAAAGTGCAGAAACAAAATGGGTTGAATGCTGATTCTTTATTAAATAAAATCTTCAATTACTTCAAAATTCAATAGTACAAGAATAGCAGGATCTCTATCAACATTCATCGTTGAATGGTAGCCAACTTTTATGGTCCACAGAATAATATGAAAGTACTATTAAAAGTATTAAAAACAATCTTTCTAAAAGCATTTCTATAAAGAAAAAATTCTTCAACTAAAATAACAGGCTAAAAATTATTTCTACGACATAATTACTTTTAATCAATAGTATTACGATTATAAGGTATTACATGTTTAGCACACTTCATCTGTTATGAATAAACTAATAAATGAATGGAATTTTCATACATTTATACTTTTTTTAAAATTTGATTTTAAGCTTTTTTGCTCAGGAATTGTTTTTCTGGGCTACAAATGTATCAAAATAATCAAAAATTAATAAAAAAATGTATTTAAAATATTTAAAAGTGACAATAATACATTTTAACACAATGTTCATACATTTTCAAACATAATCTTATATTATACCTTTAAAAGACATTAAACTCTTATCATACCTGTACTACTAACAAAACCTGTCACACAATAAAATCTACTTTTTATAATAGTAAAAAAAAAATTGCTTTATAAAATATAATTAATCTATTTATAGTAATTTAGTCTCTTTTTTACCTGTTATTGCACTGTTTAAAACATAAAATAGACTTACGATGGATCAAGGTTTTTAGGCTTGAAAAACAGTTCACTAGTTGATGTATAAACAGCATGTAGAGGGATATATTCAGTTTTATTTGGTTCTGCACACGCACACCATTCTACTTCATTTAACGAAGGCTTCATATAATAAATGTCAACAGGGACAGAAAAATGATTATGAACCTATAAAAATAAAATAATTTATAACAACAGACCTTAGTAAACTTAAATGAGTTGAATACTAAAAAGTGCTCACAAAAAGATTCTTTAAACTCCGTCTAATGAATGCAATATGTATATATATATATATTTCTTAAAACTATTCCTATGCAATATATACATATTTCTTAAAATTATTCATAACAATGGATCTAATTTATTTCTTTAGTCCCTCTTATTTTTTGCATAATTTGTCTCATGTATGTTAGAAGTAATGATATCTATTCTCATGGTTTAGATCTTGAAACTATTGGTTACACTCATGTTATTAAGTGCAATATCATAACATACAAAGTGTAGTGCATGATCAAAGTGTAGAATACATACAAAGTGTAGTGTGTATAAAATGTAGACAATATAAATACATATAGGGTCAACATATACAGTGTAGATACTGTTCAACACATCAAGTGTAGAGTATAGTGAACATACATAGTGATATATTTATATTGTAATGTATAATCATTATATATAGTGTAGTGTATGATCATATTGTTCCTTGCTCTAGAGTATTCTGGATTACTTCATAATTCGAGACTGAGTACAAAAAATACTTGCGATTATATATCTCAGAATATTACCAACATCCAAGTCAAATAACATTCTGAAAGTTTGATAAAGTTTGTAAACTCTCTAAAACACTGCCAAATGGCTGTACAAAGTCATAAAAAACATGATGATTTGACAAAATATCCACAACAAAAAATACAAGGTTTCTTGATTCAGTTAAACTATCAGAACTCAGATCCTTTCCAGAATGGATTTTACAAGATGACTACAGTAACAGAAACAAAAATGTCATGGGCATATAAAGTTCTTAGACATAAAAAAAGAAAAATTTCACCAGACACACAAAAAAAAGGACATCCTGCTTTCACCAAAAGCACAATGCATATTTGCTGTTATCTTGTCTAGCTATATGTCAGTGATATTTCCATTCTGTTAGGTATGCCCCTCAAAAATATCTCATTCACATAATCTACCAGCTCTTTCCTTTAATGTTTATAACTCAAAGTAGTCAGTTACTGGATCAGGTCAGTTTACACCACACAAAATTTAATTTACACAACTAACTAACAACTAAGCTAAGTAACAATTGAAATATTTATTGGTAAATAATAGCTTAAGTCCTCTTAACAGGCTACCCCCAGACTCTGTAGCATTCTGATACCCTTATCTACACAAACTCTCTCAAGAATAACATTAAGTTTGCTAAAGTATGGATGTCTGTGCTCCTAGCCCCATATATCCTGGAAAGTACCCATAAATTAAGAAAGCATTACTAATAATCTCTACACAGATAAAAACACAATTAAAGGTTTTGTTAATTGCAGAAAGAAAGAACTATTGGTAATCTATTAACAATTCATCAAACACACCATTCCATTCCATTTACAGCTGTTATACTGGGTTTAGTGTGCATGAATTTGCAGGCTTTTTGCCAGTTGTCTTTAATTATGACATCCTGGAGGTAAAAATATCAGTGAAGGTGTAACAGAGACAAGATATGAAAAACAAAGAGAAAGGAGGCACTTTGCCACTGCGGAGTATTACATCATGGGGTAGTGTAACATGTAATTCAAATACAAGTTGAGTAAGCAAACATAAAGAAATTACTAATATAAATTTAAATAGCAAAAACATAGTTATAGGAAGTACTGAAAAATGATTCTTGATTAACTGTTAGATATACAAGTATTTACAATATTAACATAGAGAAGATAGTCCAAAGTAGAGCCATGTCATGTGATGTCCGAGAGTACATGCCATTGGCTAGGGCAGAAAACGTACTAAAAATATATATTTTAAAAATTATCTGCCATGTAAAAATACGAAAACTTATTTTTCTTATAACTGTAATAGTCCTGCTAAGTGAGTACCATAATAATTTTACACATAGCATTCATAAAAGTGCTGTGATTTCCAAATTTCAAGAGCGGTGGGCGGAGCTTAGTAGTTAAAGTTCATCAGCCATAGGCACGCACAGATGACAGGAACTAATGCATGTAGATGTATTTTAAATGCAAAAGAAGGTTTTCATACTTGAAAAATTCATCAGAGATTAAACAGCAATAAATATTTACAGGTATATACAAAAAAAAACACAGCATGGCTTGCAGGTATAATATAAGCAGCTGAGAGATGAAGAAAACACGAAGTCCATAGTCACGTGGGACCTCACCCTCCATACACACCAAATTAACAAATCTCTAAAACTATAAATTCCAGTTTGAAAAATCTTTCACCCAAATCTCCCCTGAAAAGGTTACTTTAAATTCATTTATTATTCAAGGACTCTTCAGCTTCCTAGCTGTCAGCACACGCGATTTAAGCTCAATTCCAAAAAATTAAGGTACCAAATAGCCACACACACACAACAAAAAAATTATTTTAAAAAAAGGGGGAGGGAAGAAAAGGATTTACACAGAAACACAAGAAGTACAGTCTGATTGTATTTTTTTAACCTGTTGTGCATACTCACTTAACTTCCACATTACTGAAGGTGATATGACTCAAAAAAGAAGAACAGAAAGAACAAAGACATAAAATTTTAAAGGATTAACCGAATTCAAAATAAAATTTTACAAGCATTGTATAGAAATATCACAATAAAAATAACATAAAAAAACATCTTTCTCCATCAATATAGAAATAAATCTTAAATTAAAAAAAATCATACTAAAATATGTACCTTTAATATAGAATGGAATGTAACAAACTTGGAACCATATAATGAAAGGATTGAAATAACAAATCCCCATCTGTTTCCTGGATAAGTAACTCGAGGTAACTGGAAAAAACGCTTGTCAGTACATGCAACTGAAATTCTTCTCTCAACAGTCATATCCTCTTGAACTATCTGAAAGTAAAAGAACTGAAACTTTAACACATGAAACGAAAATAAATACAACTTCAGAAATCAGTACCAAATGGTACTTTGAAAAGAAAACATATTACTTATTTTATAAAATAAAGCACAAATATAGTTTAAAAAAAAATTTAAACTGTAGTGAGTTCTAATAAAAATAGTAAATAAAAATAGTTAAGTACATAGTTGCTTAACTTTACGGTTACTTTCCATTACCAACAATGTTAGAGATTTCAAAATTAAAGGTAATTAGCTTTAAAAATTTATTACAACATTAAATCCAGTAATCTTCCAGGTGGCTTTCCTGCCACCCCCCCCCCCCAAAAAAAAAAAGCACAGAAAGAAAGGGAAAAAAGGAAGAGAGAAAGAAACTGAGTCAGGCTTTAGGAAAATAAAAAATTTAATGGATTTGGTAAATGAAAAATTTGTGGCAAATTTTACTTATTAACAATTATTGAAGTATGAGTATAATGAACAAAATTTGATAAAGGAGTCCAAAGCTAAAATTTTTAGCTTGCAGCAACATTTTTTAATATTTTAAAGAAAATTCACAAAGTTTATTTATTAAAGTCTCTTTAGACTGAGAAATAAATGCACCACTACTGTTCTAAAAAATACCCACCATTATGTTAAAATAAGTTTCATCTTTGACATCTTGTTTTTTTAAGACTGATAACCTGCTAGAAGGATCAGTTTTCGGCAGAGAGTAAGTTAGATGCAAAGAAGGACATCCAGATTCTAATGTAACACAGTTATAGGATTTATCTTCATTTAGAATCTAAGAAATAAACAGATAAAATTAAATTGTTGAGATACTGAGCACCTTAATAATGTCACATATCTTAAAAACATAAAGCTGAATTACCTGAAATATACCATTGCTAAGAATAATGTTTATTGGTATTCCAAGATAATTGTTAACATGATAAGGAGCATGCGGTTCAGCTGGTTCCTTTCCAACTGCTTTGATCACAGCTTCTTGAAATGCCTGTTTAAATATAAATGAAAATTATAGGGTGAAACTATAAACAGAGATTTTATGAAAAAAATTGTACATATTATAATGAACAAACTCACTGTTAAACAAAAATTAAGCAATGGTTCATTATTTTATGAAAAGTCAACCATCTGTAACAGCAGAATAAAATTAATCTGATGCACATAAATATAAAAACACACCTGTCCGAGATTAGTGAGAACATCTATGCTTGTTTTACTGACAGTAAGCTCTAAAATATCTTGAGCAGCAACTTGAATGCTCATTTGAGGAGGGGCAAATACTACTTCATCAGGTTCATCTTCATCTGGACTCAGGTCTAAAGCATCTACTGATTTTGAAAGCTAAAAAGGTGTAGTGAATAAATTATATGTTATAACAAAGAAAAATATGATCGTGCTTTAAATCATGCCTTGCCAAAGATAAAAGAAAAAAAAAATCAAACCTCCATAATTAATTCCCAGGAGCGATGACCTTTTGATGTTTCAATTGGCTCAATCAAGGGCTCCCATACAGCTATTTTTTCATTGTAATACGACATTTCAAGACTAAAGGAACTTCCAATGTATAACTGAAACAACCAGATACAGTACTTCAAATACTCAACTCTGTTACCAATTGTCTGTTATGTAAAACACAAATTATGAACATATAATACTGTTATGAAATGTCCATGCGAGGTGAGATAGCTTCCCGCAAAACAGATTTAGAGTTGCCATAAAATGGCAAGTGAATGCAGGGTTACCACATTTGGCGAGAAATCGCCCATCTGGTGACAAAATTTATGGTATGCCATGGACGGATGGAGAACCTTCTGGAATGAATTCTTACCGGTTTAGCAAGAATGTTCTCGAACACAAGCCGAAAGCTATATAAACCCTGCTGGTCCGCAGTCCGTTCGCGCCTCGTCTAACCAGCTGATAGTCAATCATTGAGCGAATGTCTCAAAGTCAAGTGCATCGAGAGAGAGTCTTTAGTGTATCCTAAGTTAGTGCATCGTCGAGTTTTGTTTTAGAGTGTGCTGAGCTCCAGGAACAACTGAACTGAGTCGAGAGCTGTACTCTTGTGTATCGTCAAGTGCAACACAAGTTGTAGCTTGGAGAGTCTCAAGAGTGCGTAGAGTTCCGAAAATGACCGAGGAAAGTCGGGAACTGTACTCTGGTGCTTTGCAGTGAAGCTGTCTCCACCGTTATAGCCTGATAGTGTAAAGGCTGTATTGCTGATTGTGTTAGCGTGTTTATAGTAGTTCTTTGACGACTGTAACATGATTTTGGAGCTGTCCTGATTAATATTGGTTAAATAAAGTGTGTTTCGATACTTCATCAAGAAGTGTTGTCATTATTCACTCCAAATCTGCACGAATGTGAAGTGAAGGAAGAAAATAACGTGTTACGCTATAAAAGAAAGAAAATAAAATAGAGAAAAGAAAATAATGTACTAATGTGTCAATAAACATTTTAAGTAATTTAATACATCAATAAACAATTTAAAATAACCATAATAAATTTCCAATTGTGCATTTTTATAGCATGCAATATATCTAGGAAATGCTTAAGCTCTGATACTTTCAGTACACATTTGTGCAATAATTCTGAAGTTTAATCTGAGTTTTTACATTCAGTTGTTGAAACTCTGAAGAAATCACATTTTTCCACAGGTGGGGGAATACTGCTACAATAATACTAATGAATTCAGACATGTAATAATTTTGCAAAATTCTTTATTTTTACTATTTACAATTTGAAAAATGAAAGGGAAAAAAACAACTTATCATGTTATTTAATTTTTAAACACTCCCTATAACTTCTTCTAGGTGATTTTTGTATGACTATATTTTTGAATGAATTTTAATTCTATTTCAAGTATTATAATGTTAAGTTCAACAAATCACCTAATGTAATGCATAACACCATAATTTCCATCGAGAAATTTCAGGAACTGAAAACAAGTAAACTAATACATTCTAAAATTGAAGTAATTGAATTTTTTTAAATAAATGACAGTTATAATACAGCTTTCACTCATTAAATTCAATTGCAGCTCATTAAAAATTATTATTATTAATGAAAACTTACATTACTAGTCCAGTCACGAATATCTGCTTGAAAAGATGACTCCATAAGGAGCATGGGAACTGTGCGAGTACCAACACCTGCTTCGAGTGTTATAACTACTTTTCGCATGGTTAAAAGTAACTAAAAAATTAAAAATATGAACTTTAATATTAATAAAAAAATGCAATCAAGTAAAAATTGCACAGTTTAATATATTTTGTTCTTTTAATAGTATGTATCATATGAATAAAAGATGTTTCTCTCTTCATTTCAACTGAAGAATGTAATAATAATGTAGGTGTACAACAAAGGTTAATAAATGCAGAAAACTATTAATAAAAATAGATACACAGTGAATCATTCACACAAATAGGAAATACATAGAAGTTAAAAAAAAGCAATTTTTAAATAAGAACATGTTCAGAAATAATTTTTACGTAATACAAATTTTTAGAAACGAAAACATACCAGGGGTTCATTTGACCCTCAGTCACTGATGAATGACAATGCTAGTCTACATTGGGCAAATCAGGTGGATGATTTTCTGAAAACTGAGACTATTAATCAGATAGAGGTCCTTCCAGAACTCTCGAAGGGTAAGGTTTGTGTTCTCCGTCACCTCAAAGCAGCGACAAATACGTGCTTGGTGTACAACTTCTTAAAATTAGAAATCACCTGCTGTTCCATGGGCTGCAGGATAGGAGTGGTGTTGGGTGGCAGGTAGAGAACCTTTATAAATTTGAACTCTTCGAGTAAATCATCTTCAAGATTTGGTGGGTGAGCAGGGGCATTGTCGAGGACGAGAAGAGCTTGCATGGGTAGGTTGTTTTAGATAGGCTGTAGATATTTTTTAACAGAAGGGCCGAACACCAGGTTTATCCACTCCACAAAGAATTTCCTGGTGACCCACGCCTTCGGATTTGCCCTCCCCATAACTGGCAGTTTTTCTTTTAAAATCTTATGTGACTTAAAGGTTCTGGGATTTTCCAAATGGTATACTAGCAGAGGCTTGATTTTGCAGTCGCCACTGTGCTAGAGTTAATCTATCCTTCATGGGTTTGTGACCTGGCATCGTCTTCTCCTCTGCCGTTATGCAAGTCCTATTCTGCATCCTTTTCCAGAAAAACCCTGTATCGTCAGTTGAAGACTTGCTGGGGGATGTATCCTTTGGCTTCTATCAGTTCGGAAAATGTTTTGATGTAAACCTCAGCGGCCTCACCATACCTGACGACGGAGTGAATGCCGATCTTTTTCCTAAAGTTGTCAAACCAGCCCTGACTGGCTTTAAACAAGTCTTCCGATTCCTGTGTGTGGGATCTGCTTCAGCAAATCACCATAAATCGCCCATGCCTTCTCACAAGTGATGCTGTGTGTTTAGGTTCCTCCTTGAAGCTGCTTCTCTGTCACCCACACCATCAGTAGTTTCTCCATCTTTTCATGGAGAGAGGTCCGGAGCTTAGAAATTACTGTACCGCCCTTAGCTGGTGTTATACCCTTTATCAACTCCTTCTGTTTAAGCACAGTACATACCATTGATGTGCTACTCCCGTATATCCTCACGAAGTCAATTATTTGCAAACCTTGCTCATGTTTTTCTATGATTTCACACTTTAATTCAATAGACATCATCTTCTTCTTCGGACCCATGGTTATAAAAATAAATGTGATTATGTTTTGTAAATGTACAAAAAGCAAAAAACAAAAACCCAACTTATCAAAAATGTTTCAAAAATGAGGGAAACAAGCACACAGACTGAGGTCTAGTCTAAGGTGGGAGAAACTGTTAGACACTGCACATGACACCAACATGTGTGCACATGTTGCGGTCGTGTGCAGTGGTGTAGTGTGCGATTCATCGTATCTCAAATCTTGCTCTCATCTTGAAGCAAAATATCGCTCACTCGGTGGCTCGTATCTCAAAACACTTGGATATTGAGGTACCATTGTAATATGTTTCTGATGCAAAATATGTTAAAATTTAATTAGATAATCTAGATTTCATGTTTTTCACCAATTTCATTTCATTTAGTAATTTTCTTAAATTTTTACACTGCCAAAATCTTGAGCAGAAAAGAAAAGTTTTTATTTATGAAAGTACATTTAAAGGGAATGAATATAAAATTAATATTTATGCACATACAGTTGCAGGTAAACTTGCTAATATACCACTTACTGATGTAAAATAAAAGTAATAAAAAACAATAGCTGATTAAACATTGGATGAATTTTCATAACAAGTTCCGTAAATATCTACAGCAGATTAAAACAATTCGCATCTGATAAAACTTAGTACAAAAAAATTATGTTAAAAATCACTGTGAGTGGGAAATGGGTTTAGCATAATTTAAGTTTTATTAAGATATGGCAATGTATACGATATATAAGATATGGCCTTAGCCTTTTCAAAGAATATGTCATTAAAATTTGCTCCATAGCATTTTTTTTTTTTTTTTTTCCCATTCACACTCAGCAATTAATAATTTTTCTAGAATTGCCCTTGAAAGAAATGACCTAAATTTTGCCATAATTATCCTCACTTTACCAAATATCCATTCTCATTTTACATTACTATAAAGAACAGACAAATGTGACAGAGCAATACAAGGAGATTTCACTGGTTTTTCTTCCTTCGGCCACTCCAGTGTTATGAAATCACTAAGTCACTCCAATTTACTCATCTCTCAAGTGAAATTTCATGAAGCAAATCTTCGATCTGAAATTTATAAAATTCTGCTTATCAATGGCTCTAAATTCATTTTCAGCTTTATGGTATTTTTCATTTTTTTAGTTACCTCTAATTCCAACTCGTCATGTTCCACAAAGTATACAACGAGGCTTACACAAGTAAGGTATAAGGTCATTGCCCACGTGCATGTGTTCCCTTCTTCCTGAATTCCTTTGTCTTGTGTCACACTCCGACTCCTCCACCACGTGACTGGTGCCGGCGCACGTTCAGCTGTTCAGTCTACCTACAGCCTTTGCCAGAGTTAGTCGATTTCTTAGCCGTGTTGCGTAATTCAATGTGTTTGACTGTACTGTATTGTTCAGAGCTGTTTCAAATTTTTTTGGTTGCTGGACAGTACTTTGTGGTGGGCATCTTACGTTAAAAGAAAACAAGTGAACTTGTCTATGGAGCAAAAGTTGGGGGCATTAAAAAGACTGGATAAGGGAGAAAGTGACAGTTTTTAGATTTAAAGTTTAGTTTTAGTAAAAGACAGTTTTTAGATTTTTTAGGCTAAGGACTTGGGAGTCAGCAAAAGTATAATTGGATAAAGAAGCACACATAAACTGAATCAGATTATATTAAAAGAATGTGCACCGAATCATTGAAGGAAATTAAAAGTATGTAGGAAAGTAAGTTTAATGAAGTAAATGAAGTCTTTACATTTGATTTCAGCAAACAAGAGAGAAGGGCACGCCAATTAGTGGGCCAGTCTTGCAAGAGAAGAAATTGAAATTTTATGAAGAATTTTAAAAAAGATGAAGATCCTAAATTTATTCATATGCACTGGCTGGTTTGATTTCTGGAAGAAACGATATGGAGTGCAACAGCTTAGTACTTGTGAGGAAAAACTATCTGGGGACATAGAAGGTATGTCTCAATTCAAGGAAAACTTAGTGAAATTTATCGAAGTTGGAGGTTTGATCGCAGAGCAATTGTAAAATTGAGATGAAACATGGTTAAATTATAAATTGTTACTAGTGAAAAGTCTTGCCTTCAAGAAAAAAGAGTTAGCCCCTGGTTTTAAAAGAAACATGGAGCATACAGTAATGCAACAGTTGACTACAAATTAAAACTTGGTGTCTAGGAAAATCAAAAAACCACTTTCGTTTAAGCACATTAAAATGGATAAACTTTCAATCTGGTATCTCAACCAGTCAAATGTCTGGATAAGCTGTTCAATTTTCAAAAAATGGTCACATAAAGTATTTGTTCCATTGGTTGAGCAGTGTTTAAAATCTAAAAACTTGCCAAGGAAGGCTATTCTGATTTTGGACAACACGTTTTCGCATTCAGACATTGATGATTTAAAAAATGAGGAGATATAAGCAATGTTTTTAGCACCCAATGTCACATGATTATGCCAGCCAACGGACCACCAAGGAGTTTTGGTTAGTCCCAAGAGAAGACGTAGGTGCAAGCTGTTATCCTCTCTGCAAACAATGATGGTCAAGGTCTTATCCAGTACTTAAAAAAAAAAAAAAAAGAAAAAAAAGAAAGAAAAAAACAGGCTAATCTTTGGAATATGGTAACAGGTAGTTTGGCGACATTTTGGTAAGGCGATAAAGTTTACTAGCTAGGACTTTAGCAGTGTACATGGATAAAGTCAAGAGTGTGCGCAATGCCATTTTTGTGCAATTCTGGGATGTTTTTTTAAGTGAAAATAGGTCGACGTGTACATGGATACCGTGTATGTGCAATTCTTAAAAACGCGACAAGCAGTGAGCGATTCTGCACTTTCTCCCAATCTTCGTCATGATTACGCATTTTTGTTTCATAAAAGTTCTAGCATAAGTGTAATTCGGCTAGCAGATTGTTGGAAAAAAATTTGTGAGTAAAAAAAAAAAAAAAAAAAAAAAAAAAAAAAAAAAAACATGCCTTTATTTCGTGAAAACAAAATGGCGTCAAAAAAAAAAAAAAAAAACTAGCAGGTTGCTGTAGCAGGGTTGGTCGCCAAATTACCATAATTCAAAGATTAACCAAAAATTACCCTATTAGAATTAGTTGGATGGGTGGCGGATGCCTGGAGCGAGTTAGTCATTAACACTAGTTCGTTCCTGGCGAAAATCCTTGATCACGAGGGAAATGAGCTCGTTGAACATGATGATGCACAAAATGTAAACTTAACTCGACCTCCTGAAAAGAGTTCCTGGATGTGCAGAAGCTGATGAAAATGATGTCAAACAGTGGTTCCAGAATGATACTGAGCAAGACATTACGTCCAGTGCATAAATTATTGCTGGTATCATAGTTCCTGAAGAAATGCTGGAAAATGCTGAAGACATTGACTTCCGTAAAGGACTCCACCGTAAAAACCTCTAAAATATCACATAGTGAGGAACTAAAAGCTGTCGAAACCTCTTTACAGTATTTTGAACAACAAGATGCATCAGTAATGCAGGGCTTGTACACATTTCTGCACTCTGAAATTAAGTACTTTTAAGGACCATTAAAGAAAAAAATTAAGGACCTATGAGCAAGGAAATTGAATAAATTCAATTAAAAATACCTATGCCTGAACTCCACTTTTGTAATACTATCCTAAAAATAAATAGATCTGTAAGTAAGATACATTATTATTAAACATGAATTATCATAATTATTAAAAAAATCTGAAATGTTTCAGATTTTAAATTACGTATTTTAAAACACTTGCTTCCGGTAGAAAAATTTCATGTTTTGTATGATCCCTTGATCACGAGGTTGCAAGACACTTGTTGTATTCAGAGGCAAAAAGATAAGCTTTAAAGCTTTCAATACAACATTGGGGTGAGTGAGACAATTATCATTGAAACCATACACTTTTCTCGTAAGAATTGCTCATCTAACTTTATGATCGAATCGGTGAACATCGTAGCCACCATCCATGCCTTTTTTGTTTGCTATATATTTGACCGGTAGTGTTCTTGCATTCTTAACCCCTTAACTGCCGCCGAAAATGTACAAGATTCATTTTCCAGTGCCACTTTTTCACACAGGCGCGCGTAGTTATGCAATGTATTAGGGGGAAAATAAGTGCAAGTTTTACTTTCTAAAAACTATTTACTTTCACAAAATAAAGAAATAAAAGAAAAAAATGAATGCACAAAATTTAATGTTTTGAGTAAAAGTATAATAAAAAGATGCAAGTATAATAAAAATTATGTTTTTATAATAAAAAAGATCCCTAAAATGGAGTTTCGATCAATTTATTTTTAGATCTGTAAAGTGTAATATCAGGTTTCAGTGTTATATCTTGTGAAATCAGTATGCCTAAAAAAACATATATTTCTTCTGACCTGGTTGAATACCACAATTTTGCTTTTGATTTTTTGTTTGCAAGGTGTTGGTTCATATACTTGTCTACAAAACGGTTAGTTTCAGTAACAATATGAAGAACAAGCAGTTCATCAAAAAATAATTCAAAAAAGAAAAATGGGTTTGAAACATCCGTTATATCTTTCTTTATTCCTGGAACCTACTGCAAAAAGTAAACGAAAACAGAGGACACAGAATTTAAAAAAATACGTTTTACTCAAACAACACCACAGCGCAGTCATTACTTTCACCACTTTAGACACACCCCTCTCTCCAATTTCTCCCCACACTTTTCTGAAATAGTATCCTTTTTCGCATACTTTGTCAAGGTCATTGTGGTGTTGCATTCCAAATCTTTGTGAATAATTTTATCGGTAGCAGTGCAAAGCAAATTATAGTAGTTTGGAAGGGCATATATATACGCACGTGGCAGTTAAGGGGTTAAAACACCACAGTTTCAAACTTTTGCTAATAACAAAAGTAGTTATTCAGAACCATCCAAATTGCATCTTACAAATAGCATAATCTGTCTTTAGATAGTGAACCCCTGAACACGTTTGTCCCTTAAATGATAAAGTTTTATTGGGTAAGCAGTGGTAAAATAATCCAGTTTCATCTGTGTTGAAGACATCTTTTGTTTCATATTCTTTAAGTATTGAATGCAACATGGACTGAAACCAATTTACTGTCATGGTCAGTAAAACTTGACTAGCTTCAACCGCAAATATTATTTTTTAGTACTGTGCCATTTCTTTTCTTGAAATGTTCCAACCATCCTGGATTTGCAGAATATGTAATAATACCAATTTGTTTAGCAAGTTCATTGTTAAAGTTCCTAATATGGGAGCATTCTGAGATCTTGCTTATTTGAACCAAACAAGTGAAGTCGTCTCTAAATCCTGGTGCTTAGCCATTTTCCTCCGCTTTCGCTCTGGCTCAAACTTACTCCATTCAAACATGTCTGTAATTTACTCTTTTTTTTTTTTTTTTTTTTTTTTTAATTATTGTTGATAATGTAGAGTTAGAAATATGAAAATTTTTACAGATTTCCAATTCTGTATTCTGTTTGTGATCAACAGCCTTAAAAAGCTCCATCTTCATTTTAAGTGAAATTCAAGTTTGCTTTCCATCTGAGTTCTTTGCCATTGTGCTTTTAAAAAAAATTCTAAAACAGAAAAAAAAAGGACGAACCGAAATCACTGATTTTTACACTGCAATGTACTCGTCAACAAATTCCATAGCCAATTGATGAGATGTTGTTTTTGTGTGGCGTTTTGTAGGGGTGGAGGGTGAAAGTAGCTTGGACAAAAAAAAAAAAAAAAAAAAAAAAAAAAACTGCCTCCTGTCACAGGCTATTCCGATGGCAGTTCAAAGCCAAATTAGCCTCCTTTCTACGAAACATGTACACCCTTCTTTTATCTCACCTGTGCAGCTGGTATTTTCCGTATTTTGTTCATTCCCAAAAGGGAAGTTTTTTCATGTTAAGAGAAACACAAAATGCATGAAAATACATAGCAATTTGTCAGAACTGTTGTATTATTTCATGTTAACCAATATTCGTCTTAAGCATTTTCTCGCAAATGTGTTTCACTGTACATATATTTTACTATAGAAAAGCATGCAAAAATACTTAACTATGACTAAAATAAAGCCATCACTTTAGAAACAAAACATTACCTGCTGATGAATTTCTGGCTGAGCCACTATATCTTGTAAGGAATCTTCTTTTTCTATCGAAATAGCCTCTTCAGCAGCAACTGTTTCCAAGAACCAAAATTTTTCATCTTTCAAAGATTTAACTGTCCATAAATCACTATAATATTTTTCTTCTACAGTAGCTTTATCTTCAACTTTAACCTAGTAAGTCAATAGAAACACGTTTTTAAATTTATTATACCTTTTCAAGTTAGCATATTGCATGAAATTTGAGAATCTTATAATACCATTAAAGATTAGCTTTTGCAATACACTAAAATAGGTAAAAAAGACATTTCAAATTCAAATGTTAATAAACTATATGGTTGTCTTATCTTCAGCTGTGCATAATTACTCTCACTTACTAAATGATTAAGAAAAGATATAAAATCTTAAATACCGTAATTTCCGGAAGAAACGCTGCGGCATTTACGTGTTTAAAACTTAAATTTTTAGCGGGTGCAGCATTTAGATGCACTAAAAATTAAATATATTTCCTATGATGGTCATTGTACATAGTTTGGATGGTTTTGTCATTGTATATAGACTGGTGCTGTTCCCACACAAAAGACTACTCAGTTGCTTTTTGCGAACATTATTATGTTTACATTCTTTCCCTCAAACAGACCTACATGACTTATTCACCCTAAACGGGATCTCAGAACAATAACATTCTTCCCCCTTTCAAATCAACATTCTCATCAGTTTGAATAGTCTCTCTCATCTGCCATTCGATGAATCTTCCAGGACCCCCATCCTCTCCCCACCTGCCTCACAATAACGAACTCTGACGTATTTTCCTTTCTGCATAAATCAATTTTTCTTGGCATTCTGCCAGATACAGATCCCATCAGTTTGGGTACAAGTACTTGTTGAATAGTTTTTAAGTAAGAAGGGAGCGGAAAATTTTTGAAAATGGCACCTAAACGGCACAGAAGTTATACTGCTGGTTTTAAGCTTAATGTAATTTCATGTGCTGAGCAAATTGGAAATAGAGCAGCAGCTCGCGAGTTTGAAGTGGACGAGAGATGTATTCGACATTGGAGAACTGAAAAAGAACTTCTTAAAAATATGCCACAACAGAAACAAGCCAAAAAAAGTGGTACTGTAAGGTGGCCAAATCTAGAGGATGACCTAGCAAACTGGACAAAAGAGCAACGAGGAAAGGGAATGGCAATTTCGACTGTAAAAATTCGCTTACAAGCAAAATTTATAGCAAAAAAATTGAACATAAATGATTTTAAAGGAGGGCCTCGCTGGTGTAGTAGATTTATGAAAAGAAAAAATATTTCTGTACATACTAGAACAACAGTCAGGGAATAATTACCAATGGACTGGCAGGATTTTTCTAAAATATGTGACAGATATTATTGACAAAAAAAAAAAAAAACTTCTTCGGTCACAGATAATAAATAGGGATGAAATGGCATTAGCTTTCGACTCTCCTGCAAACAGAACTGTTGATGAAACTGGTGCAAAAACTGTATCTGTGCTTACGACGGGGCATGAAAGAACATCATTTACATGTGTGTTAGCTTGTGCCACAAACAACGACAGGCTAAAGACAATGATCATTTTTAAACGAAAGACTATTCCGAAGGGAAATTTTCCTAATGACGTAATTATTTGTGCAAACGAGAACGGCTGGATGTGCAAAACAATCATGTATGAGTGACTACAAAAAGTTTGGCAGTGTCATAAGGGATCTTTTCAACCGAAGGGGTTATTCATAACGGATTCTATGCGTGCTCATTTACTTGAGTCAGTGAAAACCAGATGTCAAAAATTGTCTACGACCGTAGCTGCAGCGTTTCTGTGTAATTTTAATTTTTTTCCCGCCATTTTTCTTGAGTGCGGCCTTTCTTCCGGAAATTACGGTAATCATAATTTAGAATTTAAGTTATTTAAAAACATACAGTTTAAAGTAATGAAAATAATATGGTTACCGATCTAATAATATATAATTAGAAGTAACATTGAATTAAAATTCTGAAATAAATATTGTTACATGCTATATGTTTCCTATTTTGTCGCTTTGTGATAGATTTGGCTAATAATAGCTTATTTAATGATATTTTGTTAGGAATCTTCTAGCTAACTTAGTATTGCATATCAATCAGCGGGGAAAAGATAATGCTTCCCTTAACCATTAATTTTTTTTAGCTATTAACCAGGCAAATGAACGAAATCCTGAATTATCAATATTTCATCTCCAATTTAAATCTCAGTGTTTCTTGTTATGGCTGCATATATTTTTTCATGTTTTATCTCCGTGTAATATTCCCTTAGAAAGTTTTCTAGTAAAACAGCTCTCGCTAAGCTGAGATTTCTGGATAATAAATTATGTATTTTGCTTCATACTGTAGTACAAAAAAGCAATATATTCATTTAATGTTCTTATAGAAAACGTGTTGCGCAGCCATTGATAATTTTACAGCAGCTTTGACAGAATTCTGTATTTTTATATTTTCTTTATAATTAAACGATGATAACTGTTTTGTAACTTTACTTTTATTGCAGAAATAAATTTGAAGTTGAAAAGATAAAATCATTTTTAAAATCTGTCCTATCAAGACTAAAATTCCAGAAATCTCTTTGTGGAAATGAATGATAACTCTGTGGAGAAATTATTAATTTGTTTGTTAAGATTATGCATCTTTGCTTAACAGCAGTAGAGGAAAGAAATATATTCAATTAACATTTTTTGAGAAAACTAGTCTTGCAGTCATTTGACAGTTTTGTAAGAATTTTTATATTTAATAGATTTAACAGATTTCTGTATTTATACATTTCCTTTTTAGTTGAATAATGTTCATTGTTTTCATATTCATTTATGCAATAAACTTTACTTTTATTACATAAATGAATTTGAAGTTGAAAAGATATAATTATTTTTAAATTTTGTTCTATCAAGACTAAAATTCCAGAAATATGTTTATGAAATGAATGATAACTCTGCGGAGAGATCATTAATTTATTTGTTAAGATTATGTATTTTTTTTCTTTAACAGCAGTAAAGAAAAACAATATTTTCTCAAGAAACATCAAATGAATTTTATTGTTTCATTTAATGTTTTATGAATTTATTACATTCATTTAATGTTTTTTGAGAAAACTTTTCTTGCATTCATTCATAGTTTTGTAAGAATTCTGATATTTAATTGCTTTAAAAGATTTCTTTCTGTATTTATATATATCCTTTATATTTAATAATATTAATTATTTTGCAACTTTACTTTTATTTTTACTGCATAAGTAAAAGTTTAAAAAATAAAATCATTTTTAAAATATAAAAGAAGACCACAATGGTAGAAATTTGCTTATGAAACTGGATGATAAATCTATGGAAAAACTAAATATGTATTTGTTTATTTAGATTGTGTACTTTGCTTGAAACTGCAGTACAGTAAAACAATACTTCCATTTAGAGTTTTTTGAAAAAAAATTAACCTTGCAAACATTAATAATTTTGTAAGAATTCTAATATTTATTTGTTTTGATAGAAATCTATACTTATATATTACCCTTGCAATTAAATGATGCTAATTGTTTTGTGACATAAATTTGATTTTTATTGCATAAGTAAATCTGAAGTCGAAAAGATAAAATAATTTTTAAAATATGCCTCATAAAGACTAAAGTACCAGAAATCGATTTCATGAAACTGAATGATAAATATTTGTTTCTTAAGATTATGCACTTTGTTTCAAACTGCAGTACACGAAAACAATAAATTCTTTGACATTTCTCGAGAAAACTTGGTTTGCTGCCGTTGATAATTTTGTAAGAATTTCTATATTTAATGCCTTTGATAGAATTCTGTATTTATATGTTTTCTTTAGTTAAATAATGTAATTGTTTTATTATTTAATTGTATTTATTTTTAACATTACTTTTATTCTTATCACATAATAAACTGCAGAAAACTAATATATCTTGTTACTGGTGTTTTACTTTAATGTAGTATATTTGGTAAAAAGCAAATCGTATTAAATCTATTATCGCAGTTTTTCTTAAGGATACAATGAATGCTTGCAATGTAGTACAGTCAAAAGTAGTTAATTCGGACACCCACAATCCGGAATGATCTATAATCCGGACCTCAAAGCTACAAACTTTCTGCGCATGCGTCGCGTTGACGCATAGGCGTTTATGCATGCGCATTTAATGTATAACGGATAAGCTAAAATTATCTAATTATTTATTTCATTTAATGTTGCAGATTGCGTTCTTCCTTAATCTTCAAATTGGTCCGGCATTTTTTGCAGACTGTTAGAGCAATTTTATAAAAGTAAGCTTTAACTTTCGATTATGTCAAATAGAATTTCCGATGCTGGAGCTCCCAAAGGATCTACAAAGCGAAAGTATGTTTCGATGTCTATCAAACATAAAGTGGAATTGCTGAAAAAAATGGATAAAGGCATATCCCTTATTTCTCTAACCATTCCGAAATCTGTTTATCAATTTCACGCTGCTCGGCGGCGGGGAAAGGGGGGGCGCCGCGGCGCGCAATTAATTGGAAGTGATCTGTCAGCACTATCCTTATCTTCAGGGCAGATGTTTTTATTTTATTTGGCTTATAATTCCTTACTAAATGTAGTACTTCATCTTGATGTACTCCATCTTTGATATGATTTAAATCAAATTCCTCGTTATCATAATTCGCTTCTGATAGTGAAGAAAGTGACACAGAGGCTATTGGAAACGAAAAAATTTCGATTGACAAATTAGTCGGTATTCTCAACACAGCAATTATAGGACTTGAACAGCAGAACTTTGTAACTGAACAAAAAATTATGTCTGTTTATAGAATTAAAGAGAAAGTATTATCACACAAAACGAAGCAACTTAAACAACTTACATCGAAAGAAATGTTTAATAAAGTAAACAAATAAATATTAAACTACATATTTTTTTTTGTAAATTTTGATACCCTTTAGATCATAATTGTTCTTTATTTCATAAATTACGGTTTCATATTTTTAATTTTAGAATTTCTGCATGCCATCTTACGAGATTTAAACTGATGATCTATAATCCGGAAAAATCGATAATCCGGAATCGCCGAAGTCCCGACGAGTCCGGATTAATGACTTTTGACTGTATTAGGTTCATTAGTTCTAATTTCTATCGAATATTTGTCTCTTTAAAATTATGCACATTTATTCAACAGAGAAGAAAACTGCATTATGTTCTTGTTATCAGGAAATGATAAAATATTTAAACTTTAGAAAAATACAAGGAATACAAAATTTAACAAAAAAAAAAAAAAAAAAAAAAAAAAACATATTAATTATTAAGCTTATTTTTCTGCATAAATCAATATGTAACACAAGGACATAATAATGTTTTCACAACTGTTGCAAAAAGGGGTAAATTTGCGAACATTTGGCCGTCATTAAGACATCATGATATGACGTTTTAGATTGATGATTTCGCAACCGAAATATAACCTGAAAAAGACACAATGATATTTATGCCATGAAAACCTAATCAGCAAAGACGTAATAAAGACATCTTTGTAACGGCAGCAAAACAGTGGATTTTCGCGGACATCTGGGTATCTTAAAGACAATATATTGCAACATTTTTGCAACATCATCAGCGACGAGTTTGCAACATCTTTGGGACATTGCCATGATACTTAGGATCATAGATACTTATTAATTAAATTATTAAATTTTCAACATATTGAAGATTATAATAATCTGCTAAATATAATATTAATATACATGCAGTTCTGAAGTTATTAATATACTTACATTTACTCAATACTTTTTCGAGCTCAAAAGGACAACTCCAGAATTACTAAAAATGTTTAGTTTCCAAAATATAATAAGATTTTTTAATTAAGTAACTGGTAACGAAAAATGTTAGGAACTATTTAAATTGCTAATGGGAGAATAAGACAGCATGACATGTTTTAATTATTCATGTAACACATAAATTAGCTTAATCCCAAAACATATATCATATTCATAAAACAAATCGTGTGATTTCATTCTAATATTATGGATTACAATTTTATTTTTAGTTTTTGATTTATATAAAGCAAACATGAGTATAAAGTGGCAGACAGCTACATATTTTAACATAAAGAGATCTTATGAATGTTAAAAAAGTAAATTAATTTGCAAGTAACTTATTAAAAGCTTCATTACTGTACTTCAAATACTACAGTTTTTCAAACAATCACTATATAATACAAAGTGCAAAATCCAGACATGAAATAAATGGAATGATGTATTATATGGATCTCTCATACAACTTTATTTCATTTTATTTTGAGAAGTTTCCTTTTTTCACATATACAGTCAAAAGGCTTTAATCCGGACGTCCATAATGCGGACCTTACAAACTTTCTGCGCATGTGTAAACGCATAATGCATTTACGCATGCGCAGAATGCATGTGGGGAACGTCGCGGCGCACAATGAACTGGAAGTTGATCTGTCAGCACTATCCTTATCTTCAGGGCAGATGTTTTTATTTTATTCGGCTTATAATTCCGCGGCGAGCAATCAACTGGAAGTTGATCTGTCAGCACTATACTTATCTTCAGGGCAGATGTTTTTATTTTATTCAGCTTATAATTCCTTACTAAATGTAGTATTTCATTTCGATGTACTCCGTCTTTGATATGATTTAATCAAATTCTTCGTCATTATAAATATCACGAATACACATCAAATAGTTTTCTGGTTGCAATTTTCTAATTTCGACTATGCATAATGTATGCTTTACGCATGCGCGCGTTGAAAGAAATGTTTAATAAAGTAAACAAATAAATATTCTTTTTTTTTGTAAAAACATATATCATATTTTTATATCAATTTATATATATATATCAATATATCAATTCTGATACCCTTTAGATCATAATTGCTCTTTATTTCATAAATTATGGTTTCATATTTTTAATTTTATAATTTCTGCATGCCATCTTACCAGATTTAAACTGATGATCTATAATACGGAATCGCCGAAGTACCGACGGGTCCGGATTAAAGACTTTTGACTGTAGTAGGAATGGAAGACATGATACTTAACAACTTTGTAGCTGTGGTGTGCCGAACCAATCTACCAATATGATTAAGGATGCTGCGCAGTAAGAAATAAAAGAAAAAGCACTAGCACAATGATAATGAATTTTTCTCTCTGGTATCTATCTCTGTTATCCACAATAATATTGAATCATCTTACTAACTGTTTCGCCTTTAAACAACAGCTGGCTAGTTAACCTTATTTTTATGTTTGCCATTGAGTGGCTGCAAGAACAGGCAAAATTTGTCTTTTCAAACCCTGTACAAAGCCAGTCAAGCCTCAAAGATCCATATTTGTTTGCAGTGAAATGCTGCATATTTTGGGTTTCCCCTCCTTTTTTTTTTTTTTTTTTTTTTTTGTATGTGTGTGTGTGTGTGTTTGTGACTGTAGGAGAGCAGAAGAAAGACAGAACTAAATTCTCTTGAACTTACGCTCAGCTAACATTGTGAATTACACTCTTTTCACTTGATTGATGCAGATTATTATTTTGTTTAGTCTTAAAACTAGATCATTCAGAAATTTCGAAGTTTACCAAACTGAAGCAAATTTTCTTTTTTTTTTTTTAATGCTAATAAGAAATGACCTTGATTGAAGATGATGTGCAAGTATGTCTTTTCTGTTCATGTTGCATAATTGTTGTATGCATGTGCTGTGGTATAATTTTTGCTTCAGTGTAGTGGTAAGAAAACAGAATCCAAAGGTTCATTTTCATCATATTATGCTCCTTTATTTGAAATAAGGAGAAAAGACAGTTCGCAGAATTTTTGCCATATGTGGGAAAAAATGCTGTTTCTCATGATACAATTCGAAGGTGGATAAAAAGTTTAAGAACAAAAATTTCAGCTTCAAAAATCATACCTACTTTGGACAACCATCCTCTGTAAACAAAGACATGTTAAAGCAAGTTATATCTGAAAATCCCTGTTATGCAGTTCAGGAACTTTCAGATAGATTAATTATTTTGAGAGGTCATTACATAGTCATTTAAATATTAGGTACCTAAATCGCCATGATGTACGGGTGCTTCTTTTTAGCAAAGCAGAATATTCTAACTCAAAATAGTGATTCTTTTCTGGGATGAAATAAGGAAGCTCCATTTTCAAAACAGCTCATTAATGGAGATGAGAAATGGCTACTATACAATAGCATTACAACAGAAAGATCATGAAGCCAAAAGAACCTCTTATAGTAACATTAAGAGGAATTTGCACTTAAAAGTAATACTTTGGGTATGGTGGGATTATAAAGGAATTATACACTATGAACAATTGCCATCAAATCAGGGATTAAATTCAGAAAATAGTGTTCTCAAATGCAAGCAGAAACTGAAGCAAAGCACCCAGAACTGACCAATCATCCAAATGCTTGCCCCAGATTTTGATGAATGTCATACAGAGGCTATTTGAGTATGGGAGGATGTTTTATGTCTGCACTTCCATATTCATCAGACCTTGCCCTCCCCTCAGATTTTCATGTCTTCAGGTCACTTTAAAATTCTCTGAATGGTTGGAATTCACTTCTTTAGAGACTATGAAGAAGTGTCTCGATAACTTCTTTACAAATAAACCTAATGACTTCTTTAAAAATGGAATTTTCCAGCTGGCAATGCAGAGAGATGGCAAAATGTCATACAATAAAATGGTGCTTATACAATTTTCAGTAATTTTTTTTTTTTTTTTTATTTATTTATCCTCAAAAAAACCACAGAACTTTCCAGTTGATATTAATCTTATCAAATTTAAAAGTTTTAGTTTACGACAAAATATGTCTTACTCTTTCCTCAAAACTGTAGATCCATCATTCAGTCAATAAATATAAGAATTTTGTATACACAGAAATGCAGACATAAAATAGATATGTTAAACTAATGCAGCAAAATGATAATCTAAGAGTCTTGAAACTTTTTAGTATATCATCTGCTGTGTGGAGCACTACAAGGTCAAGAGAGGATGCACCTGTAAAAAAAAAAATTTAAATACTTGGCATAATTTACAGCCAGTTATTAAATTTTCTGATGATGGTAGCCACTAATTCAGAAGTTTTTGGATATCACAAATACAAAATTTGATGTGGACACCAACCACATGACTTCCTTGTATGGTACACATTTTTTTTTTTACACATTTTTTTTTGCTGCATTTCATTTTAACTTATTTCTCCAAATTTTATTTGAGATATATTTCTCATTCCATTAATTTAATTCTCACTTCGTGGGGGAAAAAATACATAAAAACTCAAAACATCTTCATTAATATTTGAAATATACAGAAAAACATAAAACACCAAATACAGTTAATTTTTTTGTAATTAAAATTAAGAGTTTATACCCAAAAACAAGCAATTTAGCCAGCAGTCAAAAAGGCATATTTTTTGGTGCACAAAATTGAAAATTTACTATTGGTCCCACTCAGCAAAAAGACACTGAAGGTGCAGAAACTGACTTCCACTAACTATTCTACTGAATTTCAAATGCAAGCAAATGGCGGTTTGTTAGACTTAATTCACCACTTAAACTTTCAAATTGTTGATAATTTTACAACTTTTGCATGCAAATTAACTAAAGGTATAAAAGCCTTACCCAGAACATAAAAACTACATAATTCAATCACTTTTAAAGCAAAAATTGCAAGACTTGTATAACAAAGCTTTGAAACTGTACAAGAAATCATGTCCTTGTATAAAACTGAAGAGAAAATACTAATGAAACAAAAATGGAGTGTTTAAACAGCGAGTTTGGTTCTTTTACAGTTATTAAAAATGTTTTTTTATTTCACAAACTATTTAATATTTTTGCTTTAAAATTCCTACATGTCATCTTTCTAGATTTAAATTAATTATCTAAAATCAAGAAACTTCAAAAATTGCTAAAGTACCCATGGTCTGGATCTTGGAATTTGTATCATATCAAAAATAACCAGTATAAGATAATTATGACTGATAGATAATTCTATTGGAAATACAGATATTAAAAGCAGAAACACATTTCTGACAAATGATTTGGATGAGAAGTATTTTACATAACTTTGACACCTAATTTACTTAACATACCAAATATACGTACCGGCTCTGAAACAATTGATGATAATATACTTGTTATCAGTGTTACTGTTCCTGGCGAAATGTGGAAAATAAGATCCCTAAATATAACATCCAAGTGCTGTGAATGTTCACGGAAGTTGCACTGAACATCAATATGGCAAGGACTTAAAATCTGAAACAATATTAATGTAAAAAACTGCACACCAACATTTTTTTTTTTTTTTTAAAAATAAATAAACCTTTGTTTCAAAAAGAAATTTTTTTTCAAGTATTAGGTACACTTTTCTCAAACAACTTTTTAATTTCAGCTTTAAGTAATGAATAATACCCATAGAACAACACTAATTACCAGTTCTAATACTATTTACAAAGTATATTTTAAGTATCACTTTCTCTTTGATATCATAATTATCCATAAATTAGTTGCACACTTTGGTAACATTTTTTAAAGTGTAGAAAACTATCGAAACATAAAATAATGATGAGTTTTTCATAGTGTAAAATGTAATAACTGTTCTATAATAAAGATATGTAATGTAACCTCATTCTTATTAAAAACTTTATCACTAGTTAATACAATAGCTGATCTAAAAAAAACTGTTAAAAAAAGGAGACACACAAAGTTCTGATAATTTCCTTGGTTCAATTTACATTTTAAATTTCATCAAAAATAAATGGTCACTTGATTAATAGGTACTTAAATACATTACAAAAATGTTTTTAATACATCCACAAGTACTGAATTGTTACAAATGAGAAAGTTGACTTTAAGGACAATTAAAAGGAATAGAATAAAAAGAATACCTGTTTAATAAAAAAAAAATTCCCAGCAGCATGAACGCACTGTTGTCAATTGTCAACATGTGCATCATTTTCTGCCCAATAAAATCATCTTTCACAACACATTTCTTGGACCCCCCAAAAAATGTATCTAGGATGCTGGGAACAAAGTGATAATCTGCATTAGGAAGGGGAATCTAAGGGAAAATGTTAGAAGAGTATGGATGATAAGGCAAAATTTCATATCCCAAACTGTTAATTTGTTATATGGTTGACAACGTCATATATGGTTAGGCATTATCCTAGGCTGAACTCCTTATCTGTTCACATGTGCTTGAGCATCATTTGTAAATTCACCTCATGGAAGGAATCAGAAGTGAATAACACCAAGAGAGGACCGTCATATAGTACACATCTTCTTGGGAGATGCAAAGGTGCCTCTAGAGTGTTTCCTGGGCTTCCAATCATGTGACCAATATGTGTAATTATCATACAATATCCACTTATTATTATTAATCATAATTTGTGGCTGGAACTTTACTTTTCCTTGAGGGAAAACACACTTTCAAACACCATTCTTTGGTTTCATTAGAGAGCTCATAAGGCAACAACTTATCAGGCGTTTTTACTTTTGCTGTTAATGACAAGTGCTGTGAAAAAGTTAAGAAGTATATGTTGACATTTAGTGCCTGGGCATTCTTCTCATGCAGTTTGATGTGAATCCCATTTGATTCAATCTTTATTTTCATTTGAACACAGAAATTATGATGGTTATTAGGCTTTACTTTGTAGCCTCAAGCCTTTAGAGCAAAATTTTACAAATAGCTAAGGGAATTTCTTGCTATTTATTTTTCTAATGAATGCTTTATTGATACTTTTCAATACAGTTATTGCAAATTTCTCAATCTAAACTTGAAAAGATATAGCAGCTTTAATTGGCTTCCATCAATGACCCCCATGAATCAGCAGTAGTCAATGACGAATACTCGTGAAACAAAACAAATACTACAGTTGCATCACCCATGCATGTCACATGAAATAAAAAATTTGCATAAACCTTAATGCTTGTTTTCTTTTGCAACTAGTAGAAAACTTACATCATTCACTGACCATTTCATTTGCAACAGCCCAAAATCAATAAAAAAATTTAGAACATTAACAATGGAAACAAATTATCATAAGCAATTAATTCATTTTTTTTTTCTGACTTTTGCTTAGAAGACTGTAAAGGTTTTAATATAATTACATGAAACACATTTAAAATACTTTTTTATAATATATATACAATATACAGAACACTACAATATGAGCTTATTAGGTGATAAACTATTATGTTTTTGATAAGTATGAAAATTATGAGTGAAATCTTAATGAATGCCAGAAATTTGCCAATTAAAAATATATACATTAAATAATTCTATGTCTATGGTATGTGGTGTATACCCTCACAGAGATAAATGATCTCTTTTATATTTATTTAGATTTGAATTTTACAAACACCGCACTCAGGAAATATATTTTACAATACTATACTATCGGTACTTGAAATATAAAAATACAGCAAACAACAAACAATTTTTGATCTGTAACTTTTAGATAATTGTGTAGAGTAATGAAAAAATATAAAACATCATAAACTCACTCAGCACAACTTGAAGTTACAAAAATTATACCACTAGAATAAAATTTCAATAGAAAAATTTTAAGATAATTAAGAAAATTAACATTTTTATAGTGCAAAATTACACTCTAACCTTTGCAGATGTTTCACTCCTTTTTTCTGCATTAAAGCAAGCAGTGTAGAAGGTAAGGTTATTTATAGATCCAGATATAGCTTGAGAGCTTCCAGCAATGGTCATCTTTAAATCAATTTCATTCTTAAGAGAAAAAATACAACATGTTTATTAAAGACATAAATTGTCATGAATAATTCAAAATTTGTTTCTGACTTACAAAACTGTAAACATTTTAATATAATTACACAAAACGCATTTAAATATTTTTCTATAATAGGAATACAATAAACAGAATACTACAACATGAGCTTATTAGATGATCAAGTCCTATGTTTTTGATAAGTAAATAAATATGAAATTTACGAGTGGAATCATACTGAATACCGACAATTTATCAATTCAAAAAAAGATAAAATTACTGCTCACATATTTAATAGTCCTGTAATAAATTTTAACAAGATTTAAAAAATAAGTTTCAGAAATAATACCTTTGATTCAATTAAATTTGGCAGCCTACAAAAAAAATATTACATACATACACTTTAATAAAAATTTTGTGATTCAAGAAATGTAACATATCTCTATTTTTTTCACAAAATGATGAAATAGCTTAAAAATCCATACTTACATTAAGAAAAATAGCACTGGAATTTACATCTTCAATGTTTTCTATAAGAACTATATCAGGCTGCTCAACTTTCAAATATATCACAGTCACACCACTAGCATCACTTAGACTGGTCTCGGACAAGGACTGAGGTGCTGTAGAGACTACAGACTGTTTTGGTTTCAAAGCTAAAATAAAGTCTTTTTTTATGAAAAAAGTAGGATACACATTAACAGAGCAAATTACAGAAATTAAACTAAATTTTTTAGTGTTCAGCAATTGGAGCTTGAATTTGTAGAAACAAATTAATTTTAGCTAATTATTTCTAATGTGTAACTATTTCATTTACTTCTTGGAACTTTTTATCATGTTGAAAGAAATAAAAAGCATACCTTTCATAGCCCTTGTGGTACAATGGTTTGCATATCCAATTGCCAACTGGAAGATTTATGATTCAATTACAAACAAGGAGATATTAGATTTTTCTTGCTTTCCATTATAAAACACGTAACAGTCTCTACATTGACACCCAGATTTAAATGTGGTGGACAACAACTAGTCATCATCTGCCACTGGCTTTGAATTAGGGAAGGTAAGTAGAGGCATCCTTTCTATGTATTTCTGAGTTATAGTAATTAGCAAATCAGACTGAAAACTGGAAGATCCATTATTTGAGCTGAAATTTTATATTTTCCACTCTGAAAATGTCTAAGGTACTCTTCTGTTACTGGGACCAGATTCAGAAATGTATGCATGTAAAAGTGTACAAGTGGGTGTACACATATAAATACTTAAGAAAAAATACCACGCCAAACAAGTATTAATAAGATCCTATCTTATCTCATTCATTTGTGCTTTGTGGCAGCTGAGGATGATGGTTTGGCAAAACTATCGAAACTAGTCCTGTGAAAATTTGCAAATATAACGCCGATTTTTGTTGTTTGACTTCACATAATCATATATACACATACATGAACATCATATATACACATACATGAACACATACATGCATACATATATTCATTTCTGAATCCGGTCCCAATAACAGAACAGTACCAAGTCTAATAGTCACTGCAATGTTTAATGTATTTTTAGAACACAAATATCTTTGGAATATTTTATTATGTTTAATATTTTACAGGGCAGAACAGACCTTTCATTTAGCAAACACAGCAAGATTTTATTTAGACTAAAAGTTTAATTGTTAAAATTCAGTGAAGGCATTCTTCCTTTCTGTGCTATGCCATGCTATCCAAAAGATGCAAACTAACTCGACTAAAATAAAATAATGTAATTAGTTACTATTACTGTTATGAACTGCAAATACTTACTCTAACATTGCTGAAAGAACTTTCCAATTGACAGTTAAAAGTTTAATAATGAAATAAATTTAACAGCTGATTTCTTATCAAATAAAGCAAATATTGATTAATTAATTACTGATTATTCAATACTAAATTACATACAAATCATACTAGAATTCCAGTCTTAACAATACAATTAAAAAGCAATTGATCACTGTTGAAACTGTAAATTATTACGCTAAATTGCATGTTTTCTTCCAAAATCTGCAGAAGTCTTAATTTGGAATTGTGTACATTTGTTATTATTAAATCTTAGATTTTTATGCCTTTGTTTATCTGTTATTATGTTCAATTAGCAGTGAATGAGAATCTACTAAAAACTGGAAAAAAGCAGAAAAGTTTAGCTTATAGTGTGAAGTTAGGGCAACACTAGGCAGCATTAAAAAAAAAAAAGAAAAGAAAAGAAAAAGAAAAGAAAGAAAGAAAGAAAGAAAATCAGTTATACGCATGTACTAAAAACACTGGTTCTTAAACAATAAAAACAGATGTTAAATAAAATGAAAATTCCATTAAATGGTGAATTTCAATGTTAAAGTGGCAGTAATTTCAACATAATACAGAATAAAGGTTTTCTCCTGCATTAACACCAATATAAAGTTGAATATAACTATTCGGCAAAGTTGTTATGCATGATTACATTTATCATAAAGTTTGTATACTTACCATTTGATTCTGATAAAACCTGGGCAGTCTGAGGTTGATCTGATGATGATGATGAGCCAGAGAAAAACTCTCTTAGCATCATGATATAATCAAGACAAAAAATTAAAGAAAAACTAGAGACAGTTGTTTGCACTGCAAATTAAGAGAGAATTCATTAGTGTAGCATAGGCTACAGTTGCTAGAATTAAAATTTTGCATACAATTAATAAACAATCATAGACGATTTAAAATTTCACTTACAAGTTTTTTCTCCTGTTTTGCTCTGCTTAAATTCTACACTGATCATATTTCCTACGTCCTCTGTTGCAGACCTTTCCATCAATCTGAAATACATTAAAAAATTAGTTGAAAATTGATTATGGAATGAACAGATCCCCACTTAAATAGATAACACATTCTTTAGTCTAAGCTTTCAGGTAAAATTTAGCTTGTTATTAATTTAGTTACATTTTTTCTTTCTTTTTGTTGATTAGAATACATAAAATGATAATAAATTGTTGCATATATCTTCCAAAAGCTGTTAAATGTATTTAGATATTTGTATTCTTAATATTATAAAAATAACAACATGATTGCTGATGTTACAATATTTCATTGTTTAAATTTGTTGGGAAAAAATACTTTGTATATAAAAACAAAACCATTTTGCATTTTTAACTACGTAATATTTAATAAAATAAAAAAAAAGCCCCATGACTTGCATTTCTGCAAATGCATATTTAAACTTCACCAAAATATTAAACATAATATCCACATTACCTGTTCTCCTAGTTAAACAGATATCTGAAGTTCTAGCTTATGAAAATATATAGTATTGATATATAACACAAATGCGCAAGTGAGCACAAAGAGTTTACATATGTTTTTGTGCTCTTTCATTTCTTTACATTAAATAAATAAATAAATAAATATATATATATATTGTATAAATAGTTTATAAAAATATAAAAAAATATATACATATATATTGTATAAATATTTTATAAAAAATATAAAATATATATCCATTACAGACAGATATATATCTGTTTATACTGGATCATAGTTAAGGAAGATTAAGATTGGGGGGTAGAGGACTTTTTGAATTATTTATTCCAAACTTGGCTTATGTTTATTATTCTCAAAATTACTTTCTGAGGCTATCTTTTTTAAAGCAGAAGCTATACATACAACTGACCTGAGACATATTGCTGCAACTTATACATAAATTTAAGTTTATTTGCTTGCATTTTGTTGTGCAATATATTTTATGCAATTTTTAATACTCTATATTTGCTTTTACCCTTTTTTTTTCATTAAGTATATTTTTTAAGTAATTTTTTATTTCTTTCATTTGGCCTTGCTATTTAAGATCTTAAAAATCCATAAAACTTTATCTAAGCACTTATCTTCAACTAAACCACTAGATATTGTTGCAAAAATTAATGCAAAAATTAATACTAACACTGCCAATTTTTTTATGTATATCTATCAACCAAAATCATACGACAAGATGATTAAAATGTTGACAAACCTCCTCTGACATAAAATAAGACTGAACTAAGCTTTAATAATACATATAAAAGCTCATTCATTCTTTTTTAATATAGGAATAAAAATGATTCTTTTCTCATACAGGAAAACAATGATAAAAATAATATAAACTGAAATTTAAGCAGTAAATGAGCAAACCTAGTGACACCACTTTTTCTTGTTTTTCTTGTATCTTCCAGAATAACATCTTTTAAAAATACTTCAGCCAACATAGAAGAATCAGACATCATCACTGCATGAGCTTCTAGAGCTTTGATTTGTACTTCAGCTATTGAACACGATTTCTCCCTCTCACTTAAACCTTCTGTCTAAAGATAAAATGCTTTTGTCACATATTTATCATTACATAAAATTTATAAAGAGACAAGCAGAAATGTTACTGCTGCAAATTCTAAATATATTTTCAAGAAGAAATATTACTAATTTCATGAAACAGACTTAATAGAAGAGGATAGTGAAGGCTACTGATTATTATAGAAATTTCAGTTAAGTCTGAAATAATGTGTATTTAGAGTTATTGTAATTAATCCATTATTGAAGTAATTCTAAGCAGAATTTAAATTTTAATCTAAAAAATACATATTATAATTACAGCAAGTCAACTTAAAGTAATTATCCTGTTACATTAGATTAAGAGAAAAACACAATAACTATCTTCTTGTAACAGTATAAAATTAATTATAATAAATTTATTTCATGTTTTCTACTATGGTTCAGCTATGAAAAGCAGAATTTCCTTTAAAAACCATAAACTTTAGTTTTTAAAAAATTACATTCCTGTTTCAGATTATGATGAATCTGTATGGTATGCCTAATAATATACTGCAGCATTTGTGTTTCAGTTGCGATAGATTTAAAATACATCAACTTCCAAATATTAAGTATTGATGCAAATTAGTATTTTTTGAAAGTGTAGTTAATTTGAATGGCTGAAAATCGCTGTGGATGCAGATGGTATATACAAATATTACATGTTACAAAAGGGTTTGAGGAGGTTTCGTTTAAATGCTGATATGAAGTGTTTATAACTTTCGTAAATTTTTTTATTGTATTCATGTTTTTATGGCTGAAATAAGATGAATGGCAGGTAATGAGCATTGGCATGCTGTTAGATGTATCGAAACAATAAAAAATGTCACTATTTTCTGTGGTGCTGATTATCTTCTGATTTCTCAAATGTGAAAACAGTTCCAATTAAGTCAAACAGTTGTATGGAGAACTGTACCCAGTCAAACAAGGGTTACCACCTCTTCTAAAGATTAGTCCTGTTTGGCTTAAAAGCAACATCCACAACCGTTATACCCATGGCTGCAGTGTCACTTGATTAGATAATATGCCATGTGCATCAAAAACTTCACATGATGAGACTATATGTCCAAGTACCAAGAGTTTGTGTTCCCCTAACCACCCAGTCTAAAGGAGAAAGATTAAGATGGTTTCATCAACATTTCAACCGGACTTTCTCTAATTGGTGCAACATCCTATTCACAAATGAATCTTAATAAAGAGATTGTAAGCATGTAAGGGTCTGGAGTGAATGAGGCATGTGGAATCAGGCCATCATGAATTCAATCACGTGGGCTGGAATTTCAATGAGATATTACAGCCAGCTATACACCTTTTTAGACAGTTCTGTGATGGCTGTATGGTACTGGGATGAAGTCCTACACTCTGTTATAAGACTCCATGCTGCAGCAATTGATTTCCACACTATGGATTATAATGCCCATTCCCATTATGCCAACTTCGTTCATAAGTACTTGTAAAAGTGATGGAATTTCTCATATACAATGGCTGCCGTATTCCCCCAACATAAATTTCGCTGGAAATCTTCCTGATTTTTTTTTTTTTTTTTTTTTTTTTTTTTTTTGGCGGTGTGCTGTCTTTGCACTTCAGCCTCTTCCAGCCATCTCAGAAATTTGGAAACTGCTCTAATGGAGGAATGGCCACTGCTAGCATCTATGATGGTCACCTTATTGCAAGTATAGGCAATTACTGTAAAGTTTCTGTGAAGATCTGGGATGGTCACACACCTTATAAGTTTTGTTTGTTTTTAGCTTTAAATATCAATTTGTTAATGAACCAAAGTGACAAATCACACAATTTATGAAAATTAAAAATTGTTTTCATCTTTGTATATAATACTATTTGTGTTTTTTCATGCATAAGTACATTTGTTACCTTCATATGCAATTTGCTTTTAATGAATGATTTATTTTTTACATTTATGTTGATTTTAAAGCCAAATGCTTAATTTCTGGAAGCAATGCATAAATGTTTAGTATTTCAGCACAAATTTCATACTGAACGACTACTTAATTATTTGATTTTCCATAATCTCAAATACAAAGTAAAATTTATTTTTGTGGCGATAGCATATGACTGCAAAAGTAGATTGTACTAATGTCAAAAGAAATATTTACATATTTTAATACAAATTTCTTTATTAAAAATGCAACTCTGTTTATTCTAGAAAAGCAGAAATAAGAGGTCTCAAAACACTGTTGCTTATAACAGAAATTTAATACATAAATTGAACAGGGTTGATATCAACCCCTTATCAAAAATTCTGAAAAAGATTTTGCAGTAAAAATCCAAATAATTTCAAATAATTCTTAATATTGTTGCGGAAGATTTACATACGTGCATACACATATATTTTAAAACTATTCATTTTGCTTAATTTATTAAAACTCAATTTATGTTTAATTACATAAATTTTAACAAAGCTACCATGGAGTAAAATCCAATATAATTTCAAACCATTCGGAACCCTAATGTGAAACACATACATACATATTCTCAAACAACTTCAAAAACAAAGCAAAAAGTATATGTATCTTTTTATTTATTAAAAATTAATTAACTGAATATTCTGGCATATAATGCACAACTATAATATCAAACAACATTTTTTCAATTTTTAGGTATATTCTCCATATAATATGCATCCTTTCCTTTAAAAAAAAAAAAAAAAAAAAAATGCTGAATTGAAAAGTGATAAGGGGAATAATCTGATGGGTGGGAATGCTTGAGGGAGTAAATAATTCTGCAAAGAGGGTGGACTGTTTTCAACACAGGTTTTCATAAATGTGTTCTAGATTTTTGAGAAAAGCAGGGCACAGTTAAAGGATGCCCTTCTGACTTGATTTGTGCAGTTAGGAGCCAGAAATAGGAGCCATATATTTTCTGGCTCCTAACTGCACAAATCATTTAAAAGAAAATGCATTTAAAAATTGCATTTGCTTGACTTGAAATACAGTTCATTTGGTGTTTTTTTAGTAGTAAATATGACTCTTGCCAAACAAAAACAAAAAAACAGCAACGCTAGTTTCAGATACACAGTCATTCAATTTGCAAAAGAAAATGGAAAGTGTGATGCAGCAAGGGTGTTTGGTATTAGTGAAAGCTTCATACATAAGTGGAAGAAAAATGAAAATACATTAATTAGTATGCAAGAATAAATGTGCTTTGCATAGAGAAGTAATTAAATGGCCTGTCCTAGAAGAAGCCCACTGTAGAAGAGAATGTTGTGAACTGGGTCCTAGAAAATGGCAGAATGGATTAACTGTAAAAGAAACAGTGTATGTTTATTTCCCTTAAAGTGAGCTAAATGAATTCATATGGAAGTGAAAACTTTTAAACATCTTTCAGTTGGTGTAGTTGATTTATAGCATGGAGTAATTTAACTGTAGGAGAAGAAACAAGAGTTCCACAAAGATGAAAAAAAAAAAACAGTGTAAAATTGTGAGTAAGAAATGTTTGGCAAAAGCTTCTTATTGTTTTAAAGAATACAAATAGTCTTTTAGTATGTGACATGTTCAGATCCCATCCAACAGATAATACAAAGAAATTGATGAAAGAGTCCAACACAGACATGGTAATTATTCAAGGTGGATTAACCTTCAGCCTTTAGATGTGTGCATCAATGAACCGTTCACAGAAAATTTAAAATGACAGTGGAAGGTATGGATGTTAGAAGGTGAAAAAACATTTAGAAAAGAGGGCCAAATAAGTCATGTCACTTTTAAATAATGTGTGAGTAGATAATAAAAGCATTGAGTGAAATTAAACCCAATATAATTCAAAAGTCATTTTAAAAATGTAGTATGTAACAATCTAGATGGATTTCAAGATGATTATTTATTTACGGATAAGCGAAAATGAAACAGAAATCGATGATGTGGCTGAAGAAAAATATGACGAGGAATAGACTAGAAGAGAAACACGTTAATTTGACAATCAAAATCGTAAAAACAACCTTGTATTTAGCGTAAGTATATTGAAACACTCAATCGATTTTGAGGGCAGCTAAAGGTCCCTTCTCATCAGGAGAAAGAAATACCTAGAAAGAAGAAAAATAAAATAAAGGGGAATCTCAGAAACACGTGGTCCTTATCAGCACTGCACGTGGTTATAACCGGAATTTTAATCAGAGTTACACTGGCCGCCTACTTTTACTGAGCCAGGCTATCTGATCAAACATGTAACCCAAAGGACAAGAAAAATTAGCGAAGTTAAAAATAGGGAGCAAGGGGCAACTGCACTTTCACACTCAAAATCTGAACTACGAATAATGGAAAGCAACCACTGAACGGATTTTTATACCCTCTGGTAGTACCAAACACGAGGAGGTAACGCCATCTATCGGCAAAAATAACTGAATTAAGATAGTAGAATTTTAAAGGCATTAGGAAGGACTGGATTGGACTTCAAATCATTAACTAAACCTGCTAAATCTTAGTGAATATGAAAAGGCTCAAGAAAATCCAATTCACCTATGGAAGAAGCCTTTTGGATAATTTTTGCAGACCCAAAGTCAAAATTATGGTTAAATGCCCCACTATGATATGCTATTGAAGACTTGTTAATTTCGCCTTTTCTGACATAAGATTCATGTTCCTTGATACGAAACTTCAACACTCTTTTTGTTTGGCCAATATATCTTAAACCACACTGACACGATATACTATAAATTTGACCAAGAATTCAAGACAGAAACGCAATCTTTTAGAATCGAAGGGTGAATTTTATTAATAGGGGAGAAACCGACTTGAAAATTGAATTTCTGGAGAATCCGTGCGATTTTATAGCTAACAGAAGGATAAAATGGAAGCATGACAAGGTTATTAATATTATTTCTAACAGTGGAATGTCTTCTTTGATGGGAATATGAAAATTTTTTAACAGCTTAATCAATGAACTTAATTATTTAAGAGCAGTTGAGATTGACGGTGGATTTTCTCCCGTGATTATTGGTACGTCATTTCTTTCAAATAAACAGCATTTAAGTATGTATAGAAATCTA